ATGTTTGTTGTAATAACACTTTTCTGCTTCAAAGTGGCTTCATAATTAACGCTAATCAAATGTACTCTCGCGCTGATGCACAAAGCATGACAATTAAGAAAGTATCATCCACACACTGCACATTGACATAAGCTAGTCGCGGTTTCGCATTATCATCTCGTCCTCGACATAGCTGCATCGATCACTTCTTTGGCGGCCAGCTAATTATCAATAATATTATCTGAATTTCTGATTTGAACTTACACTTTTTCCACCAAACTGACAATAAATGCCCACGAAGCAGAGACTCTAAGGACAGGCTAACCAATCAGAGGTTAGGGGCATTTCTACTCAAACGATGGACCAATCAGAAGTCCGCCTGTCAGTCACACTTTCAGACTCACGAGGAGCTTGCATTACATGTCTCTGTTCGGTCAAGGTCAATGCTGCCTCTGTGAGTCGGTTCTTTTGTATAGTCACAACAACAAAGCACTATAGCGACTCAAATCCCACCTCCCCTGGCCTTATTTCATTAATTCGTCTCAACGAATTTTGGGCAAGATTACGCTCATCTTGCCTTCTTCTGCGTTCTAATGCCGCAGCTGCACCAAGTTTGATGCTGTTCACATGTGTGTGTGTCTGTGTTTGTGTGTGTGAGTGTCTGGGTGTTTGGCGACTGATTTGTTCGCCATCGCATAGCGCCTCCGTGGTTGCTAGCTTGCATGTGTTTCACATGAAGGATATAATTTGCTGACGGCCAGTTGTGACAGTTTTTCGTCAAAATGTGGAAGGCATTTTGATGGGAAATCGGATCATTGCGACCTGTTCACGCCGGAAGCTTCATGATTGTGCGAGGCTGAGTGCTGCCAGTTGGCCAGTTGGGCGAGTTTGTTGGTGAATGGTGCTTTGACGAGCGGAAAACTCGTCATGGCTCAAGTACCGGCCGACGCTGGCTGTGGAGTGATCTCAGACCCCGGCGAACATGTGGAGAGCTGTACCGCGCCACATTTGCCCGTCGCGAGACGCGCAGGCAAAGCTGTATGGCAGTTTGGCGCAAGTTCCGTCGTCTTGCCGTCGAGTTCACCGCGAGGCCAATTGACTTTTCGTCAACCCGGCGGCGGGTGTGTAGCTCGAGTCCCGGCCTCCGCTGCCGTTCACGGTTCAGTGAACGCCATTTCTCGACTCGACTCGAGTGACCCGCTCCGACGGAGAGCGCTTCTCTTGCGTCAGGCCTCGTCAGATCGCTTTTTCCCACTTCATGCGCCCTCGACTGGCCGTCGAGTCGGCGGAAATGGGCAGCAATGCTTGGCAGAAGTGCACAACAGACCGGAAAGAAGAGACCAGGCGTCAACGGCACCGAAGCCGGTAACTTGCTTCACAGAACGCGCCTTCCGGGAGGATCAACGAGACAGGCTGATTGGAGACCAGCGTCTTGGTGAGGCGAGAAATAGCTCGTCGTCAGGACGACAAGTCGACCTGTTCCGGCCGTCTGGGCGCGTCGATTCAAGAGCAGCCGTCGAGGCTTTGGTCGCCATGACTGATGGCGTTCGGCCTGTCTTCGGCTACGCCTCGGATACCGACGTTTTGGCGGCCAAATCGTCGCTTGCCTCTTCTTTCTTCCTTTCTGCCAAGACGACTGGACTGCCTGCCGCCTCCACCATCCGGTCCGGCTGGCCGACATGGGGTCAATCCGCCTCCATGACGCCGGCCGGCAGGATTGAATCGCTCAAATATTTCCCAAAACAGACCAGTTTGGCCGGTCTTCCCTCGACCTCGGGCGTGGAAGGGTCATTGTTGCCGAGGCTGGGAGAACAGACTGGCCAGCCGGGCTCAGTGCTTCGGCCGGTGACGGGAATGCGAAGTCTGAGAGGAGACGGCCTCCGAGCGAGTCGAGAGATTGCCCAATTGCTGCAGCCCGTCGGAGGCCAGCTCGAGAAGGCCGACTTGAAGAACGAGCCAAAAGTGATGCCATTTCGAGGCCAGACAAGGCCAGGCTGTTGTCCAGGACGAGTTGATGGGTTGTTTGGTGAAGCAAACTCGGCTTCAGATGAGCCCATCGGCACGGCTGTGATTCAGAAGGATGTGGAAACGATAGCTAGACCGAGCCACTTGGCCACCGGCGTCCACGTTGGAGAGAATGAGCATCCAACGGCCATCGGGAGGCATTGGCCGACCAACACTTCAAGGCCGTGGTCGGGAGAGACTTCAAGGGAATCCGAGCTGACTGAGGGCCTCTTGCGACAATTGGCGCTGCTGCGAGCCTTTCGACTATGCAGGACAAGTCGAGAGTCTGAGAAATGCTCAAAAAAAGACGATCAACCTATTCAAAAAGGTGCGTGTACTAAGTCAGTGGTAAAATTGGGTTGAATCAAGTCGATTGAATTGAGTGTAGACAAGCTGACATGAGTTATAGACTTCTGATTCTGATTAAAGACAATTTGTGAGTGAGGTCGGGAAGCATGGTCAACTAATTTT